CATCTGCATCTTCCATTTCTCAGCCCAAAGTAATTAAAAGCAAAGCACTCTCTGCTATCTCCCAGAAGTAACTTAGTGTACCCTCTGTTGTTTGCTGACACTTTGACTATCAGAAAGGATCAGCCAATATACTGGTTACAGGCAAGATGACATGAATCCCAGGCAAGGAGTTGGTTAGGCAGGAAATCCCACTAAGACATCATCTGCATCTTCCGTTTCTCAGCCCAAAGTAATTAAAAGCAAAGCACTCTCTGCTATCTCCCAGAAGTAACTTAGTGTACCCTCTATTGTTTGCTGACACTTTGACTATCAGAAAGGATCAGCCATTATACGGATTATGATCTGGTTGAGAAATAGGAGGTGGGTGTAGGACTCATGAGGGGCTGGCCACTGCAAGAATGCCATAAAAATGGCAAGAGATTGATGTAGAATTCATTCTGGTGCAGGTCTACATACTGTTCCATCTCTACCTGAAGCTGCCTTGAAGCTTCCTCCTGAAGCATCACCAACTTTCTTTTGAGCTGATTTCATTAAAGACTGGAAGGCTTCCAGAGATCAAGTGTACCTGAATCAAGTTCTTAGCCTCCTAGAGTCCACAAAATTCACTTGCAACTAAATTATTAAATGTTACTTTTTTGGGGGCATTTCATTTTTTTGGAATTTAATTTTGTTTTCACGGGTCATTGGATTTAAGTGTCTTAAACAAACAAACAAACAAACAAACAAACAAACAAACAAACAAACAAATAAGATATCATCACCGCGGGGAGGGGGGCGATGATAACTTCCTCAATGGCTCAAGGGGGCGTTTCTTTCAAAAAGGTTAAGAATCACTGTCCTAGAGTCCATAGTTTAGCCAGAATATCTGTAAGCCTATATTTCTGCTAAATTCCAAGCTCTAGCATAAGATCTTCCTAGCCTCTCCTTTCTTGAGATCCCTGCCCAAAATTTCCCTTTCCTTGCATGTCTCCAACTGGGTTACAATATTTTCCAGTTACAAGACACTCTAGTGAGACTAAAAAGAGGTAATTTCTCTTACCCTTGAACCGATCTTCGGGAGTACCTTTGCCATGTTTTGATGGCTCCTCCATCTATTCTCTTTCTTACATGTAGCCAGCGAGAGATCTTTATTATGGGAGGATGCAAAACTGAGTGTCTGTACTGGACATCCTTGAATTACTGGAGACATTTGCTCACAAATATAAAGTGCAAAGGCATAAATGGCACCCAGGTTTTTTGTCACTTTTTCGTACAAGCTTCTGTTATGTCTTGGACAAGAATAAAGGCAGTACCTTAATGGCAGAAAACATGCCAAGCAAGATTTCTTTTTATCATCACTGCTTTTAGTTTTTGAGTGCTGTATAAAAACAATGGAGGTGAAATCTGTATACAATTTTCTCTTTAACCCAGGAAACTGTTCCCAATAATGACACAGAACTGGCAAAGAAAAAAAAAGATCTGGCATCCAAATGGACAAATTTAAAGACCCCATACCTTCAGCATATTATTTCCTGATATGGCAGACACCAGCAAGTAGAACTAGCCTACATACAAAACAGTTTTTAAAAACCAGGAAAGGGAATCAGTCTGCGGGATAAATTTATTTTCAGATTTTGGGGTGAGGGGAAAGCAAAAGCAAAGAGGTGAAGCCAAACATAGTTGTCTATTTGAGCTTAAATTTATTTACTACCAATAACTAAGCCTTAAGAGGTACATTGAAACATTTAGAATTGGTAAAACCCAATATGCTCTGGCTGGATTGCTCAGTGGCTTAGGTGTCTGCCTGTGGAGCCAGACGTTGGGCGTTTGATTCCCCACTGTGCCATCTGTGAATACAGCCAGCCTGTGTAGCCTTGGGTCCCAGGGCACTCCCAGAAGTGGGGCATGGTAAACTACTTCTGAGTATTCGATACCTGGAAGACCCTGAAAAGGATCTCCGTGAGTAAAAATTGAGTTGACGGCACATGATTATTGTCATTTAAAATGCAATATAAGGACTGGGAAAGTGTTAAATGATAGTTTCGTTGGGCAGTGGGTGTGGGCAAGTGAAGAAGCCAAGAGGATGGGATTTGGCCCGCACATAGAATCAGATACGGCCCCAGGGCTGGCAGTTTCCCACTCCTGCTCTACAGCAGGAAAAGCATATTGACACAGAGGAGCAGGGCTTTTAAAAACACTGAAAGACATCAAGCAGAAATAACTGGAGACCACTCTTAAGTGCCACCTTGTGCCAGTTGATGAATGAGACTCAGGGCAATTTCTCTGTCCCTCCCCTTAAAAAGGCCTTGCAGGTAAGGAAGAAGAAGGAAGCCTGAAATTTAAAGCTGCAAAGATAGCAACATATTTGTGAACTGTCCTGTGGAAAGTCCTTTTGCAATCTGTTGGTTTACTTCTGGTCTGCTCTGGAGTAAAGTGTTTGTTCATTGTGGCTTGTCATTTTCTTTTTTACTTTATTACTATTTTTATTCATTGTTGGAATGTGTTAACGAAGCTAATGCATTAGCAAGGGGTTTGCGTGTGTATGTGTCTTATTTCTTTGCTGTTTGTGAAGGCTAGCTAGTCCATGGAAAAAAACATAAAAACATTTCCAGGCACTGGAAAATTCCAAATAGCTGTATTGATGTTTCCAACGCGGCTGAGCTCACTGTGTTTTACTTGTTGAAATTTCCACATAGTTTTCATGTGAACTCCTTGCAGTTTCAGCATTCTTTCTTCCAGCTTATGCAGGCATTGCCCTGGTGTGAGTTTAGGAAAATCATGTCTGAATCCCTTTCCAGAAAATGCATTGTGATATACCCTGTTTCCCCGAAAATAAGACCTACCCTCAAAATAAGCCCCAGTGAAGTGAAACCCTGCCCTCCACCATTGTGCAGCAACCAGAAGATGACGTGACTGTATTTGAATAAATGTAGATTGTTGTACATGAAAAAAATAAAACATCCCCTGAAAATAAGCCCTAATGCATTTTTGGAGCAAGAATTTAGATAAGACCCTGTCTTATTTTTGGGGAAACACGGTAGTGAGCTAAGTGTTGACTGACTTGAGAGATCCAAGTTCGAGTTCTCAGAGAGCTTGTTACTAGACACTGTCTCTTAGACTTACCTATATCACAGATTTATTCTGAGGATAAAAATCAGGGGAAAGGCCATGTGTGCTGTCTTCAGGGCATTGGACAGCATAAATACAATTAATACATACTTTTAAGAAGTGTATTTGAATTATATTTTAAAATTTAATCAGCATATTGAAGTGTAAAGGATTAGTTTCTTGAAGCAAAGTCTTCAAGGAGTGTTATAGCACCTTAAAGACTAGCACATTTTATATGACATACATATTTATGGACTGTAGTCCATTTTTTAGATGTAAGATGTTGAAAGAACTCTCTCTTCAAATTTAAAGATGTGCCTTTCAAAACAACAACAGCAGCAGTAAGAAGAACATGCTCTTTATACACCAAGATGTACAAGTATGTTTGTTTCTCCCTGTGTTGGTCCTGGTTCAATGGTCTCCACTGCGGTCATGCATAGGGTTGCCAGATACATGGGTACCAAAAGGAGGGCATAGAATAACAAAAAAAGAGGACAGAGGAGGACGTATTGAATGTTTCATTTGAACTGTTCTGGGTTAAACCTGCAATCAATACAATTTTATTACAATAGCTGCCAATAAATGTCTCTTAGTGAACCAACCAAGAAACAGTCATGTTAAAAAATAAAAATAAATATTATACTGTATCACCAACAAAGTTAAAATAGAGTAACTGGTATTATTAGGTTGCCAGCTTGCGCAAAAATATATTTTCAGCAGCCTTCGCGAATACAAAAATATATTCCTTTAAAAATGCAATCTCCCTGCTTAGACGCTCCAAAAGATGCTCTACAGTCCCCCATTAGCAGATTTTGGGGAAAAAAAACTTTATTTATTTTCTTTAATGTCTTTCATGGCATGATCAGAGGTAACAGCATGCCATCGTAATGCCATATAATGTCATTGAAGTAGCTTTCAGCAGTGAATCATGGGACTAGGTGTGCGATAAGAGATATCTATTCCGACTCCTTAACTTAGGGAAAGTGGTGGCACTGGTATACAATAAGGTTCTGGCCTATATCTGACAAGTAACAATGTGATATATTTGGGGATAACAAGGGCATTTAAGTTCCTTTATTGGTTGGTGAGAACAGCACAGCAGCAAAACTTTCTGGGTGGGCCTGCGATGTGTGACATTTACGCTATGTGTGCTATGTGCTGTCAAGCTGCATCTGACTTATTGGGGGGATTTAACAGGGCTTTCAAAGTATGTGAGATATTTAAAGGGTGGTATTACCAGTGCCACATCTAGTAAGTTTCCATAGTTCAGTGGGATTTGAAACAAGGGTTCCTGAATCCTGTTCTGTCACACTACCTTCCACTCCACATTGGTTCTCATCAATAACATTCATTGGTTGCTTTTTCTCAGTGGAGGCTAAAACTTTGTTTGGAAGACATTTTTTTTAAAGCTCGGGTATCAGAAAAAGTAGCAGGTGACAGTCAAGCTTGTATGTTTGTGTATGCAAATATAGCAGTGATGATTTACCTTTCTGGCTTTGCCTTGAATTATACAGCAGATGACTATTAAAAGGTTACTTTGCAAGCTCTAGGCACAGTCTAATTTTGTCCTTGTTCTCTTCTACTTGTTCTTGCAGAAGTTTGCAATGTCCCACCCTCTCCTGCACAAATCTAGAATTTTTGCACGCAGAAGTTTGCAATGTCCCACCCTCTCCTCCTGCACAAATCTAGAATTTTTGCATCCACTATCCATATCTGGTTTGAGGATCACGAACGGTTGAGGAATGGTATGTCGGGCAGTTCATCTTGTCCTTCATCTGACATTGACAGATTGCTCAGGATCCAAACTTAATCTGGGATTTTGCAATGCTTTTGCAAATTTGTTCTGACTAAGAGGAAGAAGAATGGCCCTGAGCTTGGTTTCCAAAACAAATGCCTTTCTCACTCATCTCCCTTTGAAGGGCAATAAAATGACCAAATGTGGGGAAGGCTTTGAGTTAGCGCCACCCACCACAATGCCTATATTTAAAGGAACTCCCCAAGATTCATGCTATTCACTTTCCTGTTTTGCCTTGCATCCCCTTGCTGGAAGAGCTATGGCAACTACCTTCTCCAGCCGCAGCCAGTCTTTTTCCAACAGTATCCATGGACCAAGGGCAGGAAGCAAGAAGACCATAGGCAGGCCTCAGACAGCATCAAGTATCTATGGGTCTGTGGCTGCCCTCTTGCCCTCTGTCAAGGACAGCCTCACTTGGCGATTTGGGCAGAAAGAGACAAATATCCTTGATGTGGGTCAAAAGGGCACAATGCAGAATTTGAATGATCGTCTGGCTGCCTATCTGGAAAGGGTGAGTAGTTGGAAGGTGTTTCCCAGTGGCAAGAGCAGGTACAAGAGAATTAATAAGCATTAAAGTATCTGTGTAGCTCTAGCTGTGCTTTTGGAATGTAATCAATGGAAATGGGAGGAGTGCTTCATTTTTAAAAGATGTCACAGTTTACCTGTGAATTTAAAATTCTATTTATTTCCTGCCAGAACACAGCTGGGGAACTGCTGACCTCCAGATGTTGCTGAACTCCAAGTCCCAGCAGTCCTCATTGTTAACTGTTTTGTCTACTGCTGGTGGGAATTGAAGTCAAACAGCATCTGGACAATGTTCCACAGAAGATTTTAGTTCTGGGTATATGGAAATAAGGAAAAACATGAGTTGTGAATATTTTGTTCAGTCTCTCTTCCAAAAGACCAATTGTGTTGATATCATATTTGTGTAATATTTTGGGGAATGGATAATAAATGACAGACTGCTGGCCTTCTTGGAGAGTCACTTGGCAGTAGTATGGAGTAATTTTCATGGAAGAACATGCATTCAGTCGAACCAACCAGAAGAGTAGGATATTAAAGTGGCTTGACTTTTTTTTAAGTGATCAAGGATTTCAGGTTGGAGTAGTACCTGTGTGATCATGGTATTCTATTTGGCTAGTGGAACTATGGACATTATAGTTCAAAACATCTGCAGCAGTGGTTCCCAACCTTAAGTCCCCAGATGTTCTTCCACTACAACTCAAGGCTTTTGGGAGTTTTAGTCCAGGAGCTACTTGGGAGCCAAGACTGGGAACCACTGATCCATAGGGACTAAAGTTCATAATTTCTCCTTTATGGGTTCATAGGAGAAAAATTAAAATACCTGAGCCAAAGCTAGATTATCTTATGCATTTACTGGTGGAGAGGCAAGAAAATTAGGGTTTCTGTTTTTGTTGAATAAACTGGTCATTTGGGTGTTTTCTTCTGGCCATATTAGCTGGAGTATTTTGCATGTAGTACTCTACAAGGGTAACTTTTTCAGGCTCTGCCTTAGAGGATAACTTTGTGTCTTTACAAACGCCAGATCCAAATGGTGCTACATTTTATATTAGGGGATATGAGTTTTTTTAAAAAAATAAAAAAATTGACTTGGAAGCAGAATATCAACCTTTATGGATGCAGTGGAAAATTACATTTACTGAAGAATATTGCTGATTGTGCTTGGCAGGCAGGAAACTCCTCCTGATGGGGTTGGTTATATACATCCACTTTCTGTAATTTTGGGTCGATGCCATCTGAAGACATCATGGCCATGGGCAACCAACACCCATGTGGGAAAGGCAGCTATGTTAGGTTCTAAATCAAAAGAAAGTGATTTGTATAAAACAAAAGGCCCTCAAAACAATTTGAGGGGGAACTATAGCAGAATGCTGAGGGTGTCAATTGACAAAATAAAGGAAGATGAAAAATGGAGCAGGAAAGGAAATGGGCTAGTTGAATCTTAGCTTGTGTATGTCTGTGCATGTCTATTTTTTAATTTCATTTATATCCCGCGTATCTAGTTGGTTAAGACCACTCTAGGCGGCTTACAACATAAAAATACACAATAGGGATATATATAAAACAATTTTTACATAATGGAAGACATTTCAACAAAATGGGGACAACAATAGGGGGGAGGAGAAAAAGGGGAGATCAGGAATTGGCTGGGGGGGAAGGCCTGCTGAAACATCCATGTTTTTCGTTGATTTTTGAAGATACCCAGCGAGGGAGCCGCGCGAATCTCAGGGGGTAGATTATTCCAGAGGCGAGGAGCCACCGCCGAGAAGGCCCGATTTCTTGTCTTTTCCTTCTGGGCCTCCCTAGGCGTTAGGCTCCTCAGCCTCACCTCCTGGCTCGCACGAGTGACACAGGTAGATCTTGGTGGGAGTAGGCGTTCCACCAAGTATCGCGGCGGAACGCCTACTCCCACCAGTCTATGCCTGTATCGATCAGAGCTTACAAGAGTAACTTTTGCATTGTACAAGTAGCACTTGTAGTACCTGACTTGGCGATTCTATGAATTGGAATCTAAAAAAAAGCAACATTTACCAGTTCCAGGTAGACAGATCAGCCTTATCTACGGCTTATGCATAACAGTCAGATAGCAAAGAGAACGGAGCTGTGCTTTGGATCAGCTTGATGTCTGATGAGCTTAGATTCCTGATGAGGACTCAAAAGCCACTGATGCCTTAAAACCTTTATTATAGAGATGATTGACAGAGAGGCAGCATGGTACAGTATAGGTGGAGCCACGGAGAGGCTTTCACATGCGTCAGAGCCCCATTAAGTCCAACTGGCCATGGCCCGCTTGAAATCAGGCCTTGCTTGGATGGATAGCCCTCCCCTGCTCTCAGCTGAGGGAAAAGATGAGCAGAATAAACTTCAGCTTTGACCCAGTCAGCATGTCTTCGCCTTGATAAGATAAAGTGCTGTTGGAACGGTAGGTTTGTAAACACAGGATACAATATACGGTTCTGTCTATGCGCAATGGTCTCACTGAGTTAGTGTCATGACATCCATGGAGTAATGTGTGCATGCATTTTAAAAAAACAAATTCCACTCAAGTGCAGATGGTTTAGCACCTTTTTTATTTGGACACCACTGTCAACTTCAGTTTGCTCTGCCGTATACCAGGTGCGCTCTCTTGAAGAGTCTAATGCACAGCTGGAGCAGAACATCCGAGAATTCTACGTGAAGCGAGCCTCAGCCGGTGGTCCTGATCTGAGTGGCTATTTTAACACCCTCAAAGAGCTCAAGTCTAAGGTATCAGTTTACTATTGTTATTAATTGGAATTTGTAATCTGCTTTGGATTTGCATTTTTCCCCTAGTAGAGTGCAGTTCACTTTGCCTTCAAGAGGTTTTAGACTTCATCTCCAGAAGACTGTAAGCATGGAAAGGGACTTGGGAAAATGCCATCAAAGAACATCTAGTGGGTCAAATGTTCCTCACCCACATGTTAAGAAATCCACAGCTAGAGATAAGAGGTCTGGTCCTGTTCAGCTGGATTCAGCTGGAGAACATTTGACCTTCTAGATGTCTTCTATTACAGTGACTTCCACAAACGCCTTCTGGCTGTGGCTTCTGAGGGAGGAAGTCCAAAACAGTGGTTTCCCACACCCACCATGCTTCCCTTAAGGCTTCCTTCAAGAATCAGAAAATATGATTACTGAAATATGCAAGACATTTTCTCTAGGGTATCCCTTGGCTTCCCTTCTGGCAACTATGGCCAGAAATAGCCACTCAAATACGTGCCAGAAGAATGCCATGCAAAATGGATTTCCAGGCTTCCAAATAGATACTGCACAGAATCTACCTTTGACCTGGACTTAATATATAGTAGTGTATAGTACCAGTGTGATTCTCAATCTAGTGTAGTGGATAGAGTCGCAGACTAGGACTCTGGAGAACAGGGTTCAAACCCCCACTTGCCCATGGAAACTCACTGGGGGAACTGAACTGGTAAAACCACCCCTTAAATATCTCACTTATCTTGAAAGCCCTGTTAAGGTTGCCATGTCAGTTCTGATTTGACAGCATAGAACACACAGAGAGTCTATAGTAAACACACACACACAGAGACATTTTTCTCAGGAAATGAAAAGACAATAAAGCCATTTTATGCCTGCTGCATTGCTATACTTTATTTGGGTGGTTTTCAGATATACTTTATTTGGGTGGTTTTCTTAGATAAATTATAACTGATCACAAAAGTTGGAGCTGTAACTGATTATACAGTAATTCTTCTCTCTCTAGCTAAAGGTCATAATACCTATTCTTTTTTGTTTTAACCATATATTTAAAAAGGAAAAAGGAAATTACACACTTTCATTAGATACTTAAATGCATATTTTCAAATTCCCACTAACATTAATATCACCCCTATGGGGAAAAAAAGCACATTATTAATTCATTAAGCAACAAAGTTATATGTGATGTTCATTTAACCACTCTTGCTAATCATTCAGTTGTGTCTGGTCAAGCTTATTCCAATACTGGAATAATTTATTGAACTGGATCTTTTTGTATTTCCTCATTTAAATGTTAAAATATTTAAACTGTTTTTAAAAAAATAATAAGACACACATTTTGAACATTTCTTTATGGAACAACATTTCCTATGAGGTCTGGGAATATTTTCAATGCTGGGCTATTAATAGCATTCTTTTCAAAGTGTGGAATGTTTTGTGTGGAGAAAATAGCTTGCTGGAACCTTCTGCAGCAGCACAGTTTTAAGGAAGACATTTAAATGTGAGCCCCACTCCCTGTTCTTATTCTACACCTCCCATCCTGGAACCTTACTTATGAATGCTGAAGGGGAGATAAGGCTCACAAAGACAAAAATGTAGAGAGGTTTTGACTACCAGAGGCAATTTTTTTTCATCTTCCCCCTTTGTTCCTTCCTTGGTTTCTACAAGCTTAGCTATGCCAAAATATGATCTTGAAAGGACAATTAAGACCCATTAGCTTTACAAAAAACCTGCTCCTGGTGGAGATGAATATTGCTAGAACTGATCTATGACTCAACAAAGCTGTCTGCGTTTTCTTTACTCTCCCTAAGGAAGTGGCTATGGGGGGGAATCATGATCAAACCCCCATCACACCATAGGCAACTTTTCAATTGGGTTAAAAGAGATCAGCTGTTTGGTGGCCTTCTAGCCCCTTTGATGTGCTAGCTGTTCTCCTTCGCACCACCTGACAGATTTTGAAACCCCTTTCTTCTACCCACAGATTGAACAGGAGACCCTGAATAATGCTGGGCTGCTCTTACAGATTGACAATGCAAAACTTGCTGCTGATGATTTCAAAGTAAAGTAAGATTTCCTCTTTGTTAGTACTTCCTTTGTAGTATCATGCATGTAGTATGAACTGCGGGATAGCCCAGTGGATGAGGTTTCTGGCTGTGGAGTTGTGGTTTGGAGTGCAGTTCCCTCTGTCCTTCTTGATAGGAGCAGGACTTGATGATCCATTGGGTCTCTTTGCAGTTCTAAGATGATGATGATAATCATCATCATCAGGCTAAGGGGCACTGTTGCTTGGAGCATTTTCAAGATTGGCCCTATTCAGACAATGGAAGAGTTGCTTTTCTGCACTACATCTTAGAGAATTCCCCTGCCAGTATGACAGTGGTCATGTTGGTTGGAGGAGGACTCTGAAAGTTCAAGTAAATTTTTTCCCCCTTATTTCTGGCCCTTGTTCCTGTCTCTTTATTTATCTATATTCAAACATGAAGAAATTGAATACTGCCTTTTACATTAAAAAATGAGCAAGAAGCATGTAGATCAAAAGATAGGCTGGGCTGTTTCTCTTCCTCTATGGTCAGCCGTCCCACTAGACAAACAAGGCCCTACAGGATGTAAAGTGACTTGGTTCCACTTGAGAACTGATGACACGATTCCTTATTCAACTGGAATTTATCAGTTTAACTTAGAGATGGGCACGAACCTAGACATTGGCTTTCAAAGCCCCGTCTCCTCCAGTGGGTGCTCACTCAGAGGCAGTGGCCTGGCTTCCCTGTCCCGCCTCTTCTAGGTGTTGCTTCTCAGTTTCTGCCTACTGCAGGAGACGGGGCGTTGAAGTGCCGAACGCTTGTTTGGCTGCTAAATAAACCAGCATGAACCATCAAACTGGAGGTTCATGCCCATCGCTAGTTTCAACTTCAAATTTCTAAGAAATCACCCTTGAAATAACAATGACTATGACCTCAAGTATTGTTGGATAAGGCAACACTGGAGAAGTCTTTGGTCCTCCAGTTGTTTTGGACTTCAACTCCCAGTGGTACTAGCCAGCCTGGCCAATGGCAAAGGGTCTTGGGAATTCTAGTTCAAATTTATCTGGAGAGCCAAATATTCCCCATTCTTTGATTGTTTAACAGCAGTTTTACCTTCTGGTTAGGAATGCTTGAGGATTTCATTCAGCCTGCATTTTTAAATGGACCAAACTGATTTGCACTTTCTAGCTGCCTATGAATCTGAATGACGTCATCTGACAATTTTCACAATTTTATTTATTGGTTTGATTTGTATCCCACCTTTCCCCTTGAACTGGAACCTAATGTGGCTTCTTTGTGATACAGAAATTGTGATGCAGCTCTTGGTTTAGAAACATACTGATAATTGTACCAAAAATAGGTATTTAAACAAAAAAATTGTACAAAGTTGTGCATTTCAAAATGAAAAATGCATAAAAGGCATACAGAAATGTTGTGAGTAATGCACACATTCATTAAAAAAGTGTTCTTTTAAAATATCAGATTGATGTAGAAATGGCAATTTACAGACTTACAAATGAACACATATGACATTGATATAGAGAAGAAGAAGATTTTTTGTCTTTCCTTGTGTCTAATCTGTTTCTAAATTCTAAGCCTGGTGTGTTTTGGATAGCTAGCTGGCCTGTGCCATGAGATCTGCCAAAAGTCTGCTTACAAGACCCAAGACCTAAACTGACCAGACACTTAGGCTCAGTTCTTAATTGGAAAACCATTTAATTTGACTCTGTTGTCCAGGAATTCTTGTCAATCCCAATATTTTTTCATTAATATCAGGTGTTTAGTGATCTGTATATTGATATGCAATTTAAATCATTGCCTATCCAGGGTAAAAATAAAAAGCCATGAGGGTGGGTCTGTAATTAATCTAGGAGATTTGCATTAATCTCTGCACGTTCCATGAGCATTTAATTAGATATGTTATCCAGAATTAACCCTTGAGGACTCTCCCATTCAGCTTTGCTTTGATATTGTGCCTTCACTGCCCATAAAAATCTTTGGAAAGCAAAATGATCAGAGTTTTCAGAAGACCACATGAAATCGAGGGGTATAAGGTTCATAGAAGAGATCATTTTAAGAGTCATGTGTCCATCTCTCGATCTATCTAATGATTTCTTTACCGACGATCTGAAGCAACATGCTAAGACTGTGCAAGTGAGGTCTTTGATGTCTACATGAATGATCCCCAGATTTAATCCTGTCTGAACAGATCACAGGCAGTTGGATTTAAAAGAAGGAAGATCTGCCTTAAAAATTGTTGATTCCTGCCCAAAGTCCTGTTCTTGTTCATGCCTCCCTGGCCTAGGCTGTCATTCAATGTGCCCTGTTTTATGATTGTAACCATACATTAAATGTTTGCCCCCATAGGCTGGAATCTGAGGTGGCCATGCGTCTGTCTGTGGAGGGGGACCTTGGTGGGCTGCGCAAGGTCCTGGAGGAGGTGAATGCAAGCCGACATACCTTGCAAGTGCAAGTGGACAGTCTTCAAGAGGAACTAGCCTACCTCAAGAGGAACCACAAGGAAGTGAGTGGGTGTATGGATGTGTGTGAGAGAGATGGCATAGCACCTAGTAGAATATTTGCTGGGTACATTGGAAAAGTTACTTTTGTAGACTACAGCTCCTGGAACTCTCATCGCCAGGATCGCCACTGGCTACCTTTGCTGATGGGTGTTTTGTAATCCAAACCTGTAGTTGAGAAAAGTTACTTTTTCACACTCTGCACTGGATGCATCTTAATTCTCAATATGTCCCCAAGAGTGGCTTGGCATTAAATGAATGGTGGGAAGTCTTGCGATCATTTTCTTCTCCACTCTTTTTGGAGGTTGAACATATCAGTGGCTTTCTATTCCTTTCCAAGTCTCTGAAAGGAGAGGTATGAAATCCCAGGGCAAGAAGTCAGAACTTGAAGGGTGGTTATTTTCTGCCTGGAAAGTGGAAACTTTTGCTTTTAGCTGTACAGCTATACCAGGGAGAAAGATCCTCATCAAATACAGGTAGCCTCCATGGGAACCTTCCATCCCTGCTTCTTCTGTCTTAATCGCTGATCAGTGAATCAAGATAAGATTATATTTGCCTATATTTCAGCTTTAAATACTTTGCATAGTATTGTAGTATGTTTTGCAGATATTTGAACCTGGGATACCAAGATTTGAACCTGCCCACGAAGCATGTATTATGTCACTAAGGTGTGATTCCTGGATTTGTCTGTTCCTTCCTTCCTTTTGGAAACTCTGGTCTCAAAAAATTGAACAAAATACTAGGGGTATGGAAACATAATGGAGAATGAAATGGGATTAGAAGGCCACCAGTCTCAATAAAGGAGGAAACACATAGGTGTGCAGCTGAAGGTTTTCCCCCCACCCATACTTGTATGGGGTGAATGATGAAGTCCTTTGAGTTTAGCAGGATAATGCAAACAAATGCACTCTGTCCAAGTTACTCCTTTGGTAAATCACAGTATCACCTGTATCTATCCTTACTGGTTTATAAAAAGATACACACAGTATAACACATTTTAAAAATTTAATTGTCTTTCCCAATCAATTGGGAAAGCAGGGGGTTAGGCAATCAAAAGAATAAAAAGACCACAATAACGTAGGCTCCCCATATCTGCTGGGGATTGGTTCCAAGCCCCCTGTGGATACTGAAAATTGCACATAATAGTGAATGCTGTTTGTCTCATGGTAAAAGGGACAAGAAACAAGTAAAAAGCTTCACATGCATTATCAGTAACCATGCTCTGTATTTTTCATTAACAAGTAGCACATTCTCTGGCTTCATCCAGTGGCCTGTTCTGGTAATACATGTGAAAATACCTTTTTCTGGATGTTCTTCTTTTAATATTTTCAATATGTTCAGATATGGATAAGTGAAACCATGGCTACCGATCTTGTGGATATGGGGGTCCTACTGTACTAGACTTTCCCCCTCCCACTGTGCTTTCTGGATGGCAGGGAAATGCACTTGTTGAGTTGTTCCATGATATTTTTCTATTGCTAGAGTCGCTTTTTAATAATATTAAACATGATTAAACATCAGGAATAGAAGGAATGACATGTGGATGCATATTTGCTATGCAACCACATGTCATTCCTTCTATTCCCAATGTTTAGTCATGTGTACTATCGTGTATGTAGCCAGAACATCTACTATTCCTATGTAAGAGCAGGGTATAATTTTCCAAGATGGAAGTGGGCAGGGGGAGAACTATCAAATAGCTATCTCCTTTTGGTTTTGATTTTTCTGAGGCCTGGGGTGGGGCTGCGGCAAAACAAGATGCAAAATCACAGTGGGAATCTTCTGTAGAAAACTGATGGTGTGAAATGGGAAATTATGTTTATTGGCTGCCCCCCCCCCGTGTTTTAAGTGGACCTTCAAGCATTATTTTTCAAATGGAACTAGCTGTGTTATTCATTGCTCTGTAGCAACCAGCTTGCCACTATTGTGAATTGTTGCACCCTTTGTGAAAGCAATTCATTGTGTTAGACATTATTAACCTGCATTTTGGTTAACGCAGGTGAGAAAGAGAGATGGAAGTACTTATTCTGTTTCCTTCTATTGGCCAAGGTTAAAATACTTTAAAAAAAAGAAAAGAAAGACAAAGGACCGAGGACTGATAAATCACTACCATAAAACTTGAAATTTATGTCAGAATGCTTCTAAAAATGCATTTAAGTGTGCCTTAAAAGTAACTGCCAGAAATAGCTAGGAAAGTATTTGTCCCTCCAGGGAAAATATTTTTGGGACACCTCATTGCATTGGTTTCAAAATTTAATTTAGTGATTCAATTTCTGCTCTACTTCTGTCTCTTTCAGGAAGCAAGATGGCTTACAAGATGCATTTAAAAGCAGATCCATCTAAAAATACAATAAATTACAATATTATGTTAAGTAGATTATTTTAAAGCAAACACTGAATTAATACAGTTAAAAACAATTTTAAAAATAACAACAAAAGGCAGAACTCCCAGCCTTAAATACAACTTGGTCTTGCTTTTATTACTGCCAATTAATTAGCTGCAAGTAACTATGTTTTTAATTACTTCAAGTGTGGGAGGGCTTCAGAGCTTGTAAAACTACCCAAGGGGGACAGCTTGTGACCTGCAGAACATACTTGGCATATATTTGTGCTAAGAGGATGCACCAGGGGGCTCATCAGAGCCCTTTGATTCCACACAAATACAATTTCTTTAGGGAAATGAAAGTAAAAATCCTATGAATAAGGAGCGGACATAACCTTAGAAATGGACCAGTGCGGAGTGAGCATGCTCTGTGGCCACAGAATCTACTCTTCACCATTGATGGGGTGAAATGAAATTCAGGATCCTGAAGAAGACAAAGTTGACTGAGTGAGACACCATACAGGGCTACATCCTGACAAAACCTTCTGTTGCAGATCCCAATAGCAGCAGTTCTGCTTGTTTTCGTTTAATAAGTATTTAGGAGAGGATATTGATGCCTGTTGCTTGGACTGTCCACCTGGCCTTTGCTCCTCCTGTCACGGTGTCCAATGGGTTCCTCATGATTGCATGATAACCAAGTCACTTGTCGACCCACAGGAAGTGGCCTCTCTCCAAGGCCGGCTGGGGGGCACCGTCAATGTGGAGGTGGATTCCATGCCTGGTGCTGACCTCCAGAAAATCCTTGCTGAAATCCGTGACCAGTATGAGAATGTAATGGAGAAGAACCGCCAGGAAGCTCAGGCATTGCACAAGTCCCAGGTGCGGAAAGGGAAGCCAACATGTTTTGTTTCCGGGGAAGTGGGAGTTTGCTAACTGAAGGTGATCTCCATGGGAGGAACATTTATAGGAAAGAGATATGATACAAAAATAGGCTTCTGATTGTTTCCAGTATTTATTTATTTATTATTTTTATTTAATTTATATGCCGCCCACACTACCCAAAGGTCTCTGGGCGGCATATAAATTAAATAAATAAAAATAAATAAGTAAATGTTGATTTATTATTAAATGACTTATTAGTGAAATGTATTCCTCATTTTTTCTTTGGTGGGCATAAGGTTGCATACCTGGCTCTGCTCCTCCCTGTTTTATCCCCGCAGTGACCATGCAATGCAGAACATGACTGGCCTAAGATGCCCAGCGAGTTTCATGGCTCACTGAGGATTTAAACCTCCTATCTACCTACCTACCTACCTACCTACCTATCTACCTACCTACCTACCTACCTACCTATCTACCTACCTACCTACCTACCTACCTATCTACCTACCTACCTACCTACCTACCTATCTACCTACCTACCTACCTACCTACCTATCTACCTACCTACCTACCTACCTACCTATCTACCTACCTACCTACCTACCTACCTATCTACCTACCTACCTACCTACCTACCTATCTACCTACCTACCTACCTACCTACCTATCTACCTACCTACCTACCTACCTACCTATCTACCTACCTACCTACCTACCTACCTATCTACCTACCTACCTACCTACCTACCTATCTACCTACCTACCTACCTACCTACCACCCCCCATTAGCACATACCGCATACACACGATTCTGGGTGGTTTGCAAACAGAGAAAACCAATTTAAAAATAGAAGCAGCCATCAGTTAAGACCGAAATAGCAGTAAAGTTAGACCAGATGGCACCAGAAACAACTTCCCCAAAAAAAGCGGAGTGGGAGGCAGGACATTCAGCCAGAATTGGTGTGAAAGGCCTCCCTAAAGAGTAATGTTTTCAATTGCCTCCTAAAGGAAAGCAGGGAGGGTGCCTGGCATAGCTCCTCCGGAAGCTGATTCCATAATGTTGGTGCCACCACAAAGAAGGTCCTGCCTCTTGCAGATGATTTCCAGGCCTGGCTACATGGAAGAGCCTCGCCTATGATCATCTGGTTGGTCAGGCAGATGCCATTGGAGGATGATGCTCCAACAAGGAGCTTGGTCCCAAACCATGAAAAGAATATCCATGCGGGAGAGGATGTGGACAAGCACTTTAGAACTAACAACCTTTATTCTTTTCTGCAGTGTGATGCCATCAATCAGGAAGTTGCCATCAGTACTGAAGCTCTTCAGGCTGCGCAGATGAAGATCACAGAACTCAGACGACTGGCCCAGGCTTTGGAGATTGAGCTGCAGTCTCTTCAGAGCATGGTCAGTGTCAGCATCTTTTTTGTGTTGCTATGCTAAGAGGCTACACACAAAAGGCAGTTGAGTGGGTGATGTGGGATCTATGATTACACTGCACGGGCACATATCTTTGATACTGACTATGGAATGTGAACTTTACTTTCCATCTCCTCTTCAAAGAAAACCCCAAAGTTTCTAGTCCTTAAGAAGACCTTTGAAATTAGTCTAATAGTTGCATGCAGTTAGAATGATGGCCATACGCAGCCCTGGATTTACAACTGTCCCATTTTAAAAAAAAGTTACTATAAGTTTTTTTGGAATGCTTCTGCAGCTGAGCAAGCCCTGGGGGAAGATTTCCAAAGTATCTTTCCCAGTCCTTTCCCAGTGGGCTGTGGTGGCCTGATCCCAGATTAAAAGCCTGTGCAATGGAAGGGGATGAAAGGCATTAGCAAACGGAAGAGGGAGTGAGGAGACAAAGGGTTTAGAAGAGGAGAGCATAAGCACTAGAAACTTGCAATGCAAACAGTGTAGGAAAGGCAGCCGGCCAGTGCAAGCACTTAAGGAACAGGATGATCTACTCACATGAAGTTCCTTCCCCACCTAGACTTGTGTGAACATGCAGATTAATAACTCTTCTGTAGGGTCTACGGATGGGATGGCCTCATCCCAAATTTCTGGTTCAGGTCCCCCTACTCAAAGCCTAGACCACCTATGTGTGGCGGTCCTTTTTCTAAAGGAAACACATCTCTCTCTGTCCCTTATTATTGCTCTATATCCCCCTCAATGCATTGGAAACCCCTCACTATCTACTTGGGACCTTTATGCAGTGTCTCCATTTGCCTCCAGAAAATAGCCCTGGAGGGAACCCTGGCTGAGACCGAATCCCGCTATGGGACGGAGCTGATGCGGCTGCGTGACCTTTGCACTGCCAGGGAGGCAGAGCTGCTCCAGCTGAGAACAGATGCCCAACGACAGGCTGAGGATTATAAGCGGCTGATGGATATTAAGAACAGACTGGAACAGGAGATTGCCACTTACCGGCACCTTCTTGAAGGGTAAGAGGTGGCGAGGAAGGTAGGCTTGACTTGAACCACCAGGCTGTTTTGTCATTCTTACCTCAGTTTCTGAAGATTGGAGATAGGTGTGGATCCTTCTGCTGAAGAGAGGCAGGCTGAGGCTGAGAAACAGGAGTTTGCCTAAGGAGATTTTGTTTAAATTTTGAGATAGGTGTGGATCCTTCTGCTGAAGAGCGGCAGGCTGAGGCTGAGAAACGGGTTTGCCTAAGAAGATTTTGTTTATTTATTTTATTTATTTAAAATATTTTATCCTATCTTTCTCCTTAAATGCACCGATATGATTAGCCGTGAAGTGTTTATCCCAGCTTTCTCCTTAAAAGGACCCATATGATTAGCCATGAAGGGCCTGGAGGTCACACTGGCTTTCTTTCCTACTCATCCTGGACCTCTGTGGGCCACTCCACCCCTACTGTTTATGAAAAAGGTTTTGAAAGGCTTACAAATGGTGTGAGGGATGCTGACAGAGCCTTAGAATGATGCCTTGCACCCTTTGGAGAGTTTGGAGAGATGGGAGCTAAAGGAGCATTGAAAGAATTCTGCTTCTGAAGGGTTCTCCATTTTGGGGCTGATTTGTTCTCCAGTGGTGGTGGGAGGGCTTCCGAGGCAGTGGTGGCTGGTGATCTTGATTTCACATGGATTGGTGAAGGTGTTCTGGGTTTTAGTCTGAACTTTAAAGGTGATCCACAAAATCCTTAGCCTATACTAGAAATAAAATTCAGCACTTCGGACAGACCCTGTTAAGTTCGGACTAAAACCTGGCATGGATTCTCCAGAACCATAAAATTTCACTCACCAGCCTCCCTTGCCTTGAGGGGTCAAGAGAGCCACACCAGAGAAGTTGGTTTGCACGCATCCCACTGACCACACCATCTAAAGTCACCCCAATGAGCTTATGGATGAGGTGAGATGTGGACCATAAGGCTTCTGAAATCCATTTGCTCAGAAGGCTGAATGGAGAAGCCAACATCTAAGGCCATTGGCAGGTTTTGTTGCCTTTTTGTACCACGGCATGTTTAGCTCTCAGTTTGTTTGCTTAAAGGTGGAACACATAAATGGCTCCCAAATAAATACACGTGGAGACAAAGCCTTGGAGAAAAAGTTCCAGAGACATTATGGATAGACTGGGTGTCACTCATAGAAAAGAAAATGCTTCATATTTGTTATATGAATGTAGCTTTATATTGACTGATGTGGAGGATGCTTTAAAGAGAGAATTGAGGTGTACAAATGACCCATGTGTTAGGACATTTAAAAGCCTGGGATGTTTTAATTAAGGGATTGGAACCTTTGGTCCATAGATGTAATCTGGACCACTGAAGTTTCTCATCCAACCTGCTGTGAGAAAACTCTATCCACACCATACGTCTCTTCGCTCCTTAAGCTTGGAAGGCCATCTTGATCTAGTATTCTTTGCTGAACCAGCATTCTTTTCTTCCTTTTAGGTCTGAGGCTCAGCCACCGGCTACCCCAGGTAAGCATTTGCAGAGTTCAGAAGGTTATTTCTAAGAAAAAAATACGTGCAGGTGTACCTCGGTTTACGAAATCAATGCATCTTCCGGGATATTATGTAATGCAAAAAAAATCGTAAACTGGAACGTGGATTGCTGTAGCAACAGCGGCGGCGCTGCAAACCTCCAGGCGTGGGGAAACTGAACCAACCCAGTAAATAAGTTGATCATGACTTCTCCACAAAACGTAAATGAATCAGCTTTGAACTGGAAGGGAACTGATAATACTGTACTCAGATTTCACCATACATTTGTCCACTAGGGGGAAGTGTGTCCTCACTCCAAATAGGCTTGGAGTACTGGAGCCCTTCACTCATTCGCAGCACCAGAGCTATAGGTAGGATAGAGCAACTGGGGTTTTGACCCTGGGTGCCAAAAATTAGAGGGTGCAAACATTTGCTGCTACAGGGCACAAACCTGCCTGTGGATATTTACTGCTAAAAGGCCATGAACTTGCCCACCTTTAGCCCATATACTACTTCCAGCTGCTTCCCCCTGGGCAGAAGGAAATACAAGACAGGTAGGCTTACTGAGGAACCAATACGGCTCTCATGCGCTGAGACCTACGCATTCCTTGCCATCACTCATTCCGCCTCTGTTTATGATAGTGTCACATGACCTATGTACGATTAACCAATAAGACAGTGAAATGGGAGCAGAGTGCTGGTTTTACCTCTGAGCAACACCCTCGGAGGACTTCTCTGATTCAAGGATTTGATTCAGAACAGCTGGGTCTGTAGAGAGAGCCTTTCATCGCTGCCTTGTGATGCACCAGACTCAACAAGGAGGATTATGTGAGACAACTCCATGTGCAGAAACAGTGTTGTTCTAGCAGAGGCTAAGTTGTCAGAAGGCAGACCCCAAACGTTCCGCTGCCTGAGGCAAAGAACAACATGACACCCTTTCCCACTGCATGTATAAAAGCAGAAGGCAGTTGGAACTGCCTTTGCAATGGATGTTGCAAGAGCATCTTTTACCTGACCTGAACACTGCATATTAGCTTACCAGGCATAGAGCAAGATGGGTGATGTACCACTGCCTCATCCAGCATTTTATTGCCTCCTGTCACCATCTACCCCTTAAGGCGGCTGCCTCATTCTGCCTAGTGGTAAGGCCAGCTTTGTACTAGAAGCATAAACCCAAGCAGTCAGATATATTTGAACTGAAACTTTGTGGCTTAAAAAAAACTTAAGGCCAGAGAGTTTGTGTATGTTAGCAATCTCATGTCTCCTCCAGGACATTGCTGCTGCCTCTGAACATTGACTACCTGAGGTGGCTGCCTTACTCTGCCTAGCTGTAGGGCTGACCCTGCAACAGAAACCTAAACCCAGCCAATCCACCATACTTAAGTTAAACTTTTCTTGCTATTTGAAAAACATGTTGCCTATCAACTATCTCATGGTTCTTGCATTCATCGGCTTGGCTAGAGTACTGGTTCCCAACCTTGGGTCCCCGAATGTTCTTGGACTACAACTCCCAGGAATCCTGCCCAGCACCTGGGAGTTGTGAAGGCTTCGGGGAGTTTTAGTCCAAGAACATCTGGGGACTCAATGTTGAGAACCACTGGCCTAGAGGCTTGTTTAAACATTTACCAGAAAACTAAAAAAAGATGTCTTTGAAGGCAGTAGTCCCCAACCTTGGGCCTCAAGATGTTCTTGGACTACAACTCCCAGAAACCTTCGCCACCACCTCTGCTGGCCAGGATTTCTGGGAGTTGAAGTCCATCTGGAGGCCCAAGGTTGGGGACCACTGCTTGAAGGGACCTGGCCCCAAGGGGTCTCCCTCGTGTTACCCCTCTGACTACTTCTTTTCCAAGCATCTTGGGTGGCTCCTCATCTTTTCCTGATGCCGTGTTTTGTGTCTCCCCCCCCGCCTTTTTTACAGAGCCCTCTACAAGCCGCCGGGTGAAGACTGTCATTGAGGAGCTTGTGGATGGCAAAGTGGTGTCCTCCCATGTGGAAGAGGTTGAACAACCTATGTGAAAGCTGCCATCTTGGTGACAAAAGCAGTGGATGTGGTGTTGGTGATGGTGTGGTAGAGGGAGAAACACAATCCTGCATGACATTTTGCCCACAGGGCTGATTCCACAGCGAAAGACAGCATTCTGCAAATAAAGCAACTCTTTCCCTTCATTCAAAGGAGCAGCTTTACTGGTGGGTGTTGTTGTTGTGTTGTTTTGTACTCCTGGGATAATAAACTCCTGGGTTTGGGAATTTCAAATCTATGCATAAAATTCATCCTTTATCTATCATCTGGCTGTCTACTTTCTGGCTCGTTAGCTTCGTTCCCTTTTCCCACCCCCACCAATCTAGTCATTTCGACCACTCTAGGCGGCTTACAACAAATGATAACAAGTATTCTTTTATTCTGGGAAGACGGCCATGGGTAGAGTACGTGCTTTGCCTCCAGGAGGTTTCTGGGTTCAGTTCATGGCATTTCCGGTTAAAAGGATCAAGGATCATGTGATGGGAAGCACTCTTTCCTCTCTGTCCCTGTAAACCAGGCTTCTCTGATTTGGCACCCTTCAGATGTGTTGTGCTTCACTGCCATTCCTAGATAGCACAGGAATGATGAGTATCGCAATCCAAAACATCTGGAAGGTACCAGGTTGGGGAAACAATGGGCTAGGTGGAGTGAGGGTTGATCCTGACCTAAAAGCAAGGGATCCATGCAGAGTTCACATTCATCTGCCCTCTTTCCCTCAGCAGTGTAATCCTTAGGAATAATTATGGCTATGAAGCCCACATTTTAAAAAGTGGTTATTTGGCTGCGAAGTCAGAGGTTGTGAGTTCAGTTCCCCACTGTGCCTCCCCAGAGAAGACGCAGCCTGTGTGGCCTTGGGCCAGCTGCACAGTCCCATGACACTCCCACAAGAAGGGAAGGGAACATCACCTCTGTGTCTTCTCTACCTAGAAAACCCTGAAAAGGGTCACCACAAGTCAGAATTGACCTGATGGCACATTATGATTATTTATTTAATATCTAGGCACAATGGTCAGATATGCTCCTTTACATATTTTCTGTCTTGATTGAGTGGAATGGGAGGAGCTTGACTTGAGCAGTCAGAGGGAGTTAAGGGGAGCAGAGTCTTGAACTTGGAGAGCTGGAAGGGATCCCTCATCAAGGATCCCACCTTGATGAGGAAGGAAATCCACATCTATAGCATTCCTGGTTCATAATCACCCAACATCTCTTTAAAAACCACCAACAAAGGAGAGCCCACCACCTTCCATGTAATCGGAGAATAGGACTGAACTCTGTAAGCCGGAACCCAATACTGTATTAGGGCCAGGAGAGGAAAGCAGAAATTTGAAGAGTCAGCTATCAGCTTTGTGTGCAGGATTGAACTCCCCTTCTTCATGCTGTCCATAAACCCATCTCCCACTTAATACATCATTGGGCCGGATGTGACTTGTCACCTCCCCTCTGGTTCTGCATTACTACAATCACCGGACATTATTAATTTGGAAAATCTTTCTAATAATAAGCCTTTCTTGCCACTAGGTGGTGGTAGAAGCTGCATAATCAGACCTGTGCATCTCCTGTTCATTTATTTTATAGTATACTGTGGTTGCCTGCATCTAGATGCCCACCGTCTGCTAATAAGCAGCTGTGCAAAAGTTTGGAAATAGCTTTGCTGCAGCCCCGAATCTACATGTCTGTGTTTTGTTAAACAAGTGAAATGAAGGGATAAGCAAAGAAAAACTTTTCTCTGGGAGCGTAAGTGGGAAAAACAGAAAGGAATCCTGTGGTACATTAACAAGTTGCACATTTATCCATGATAGGACGGTTTGCCAACTAGAGGGTGCTCCACCAGCTGGCAATCAATGGATCAGAGGATCTGCTATGGGGTGGTTCTACTCCCACGTTTGTAAAAGCCCTGAATTAAAGAAAAAAAATCATTGCAGAATAACAAAGTCATTTAAGCCAATGACAAAGTCATTTAAGCCAATGAAAAGAAAAAGTAAACCTCTCTCTTCAAGTGTAATTTACTTTAAAGTGTGTCAGTACTGGATTCTACGTTAATAGCAAGCAAATATACATGCTGTTCCACATTTGGCCATCGAGTGTCAGTGCAGCCTGCATATTTGTGAGGATGGGGGTTGGTTACTAGAAAGAAAATCTGTACCATGGACAGCTCACCAGCTAGGGGTGCAATAGGACCAGGAATTTGCAATAAATGCAAATCAAGCAAATATGGATTAGCTCAGAGTCGCAATAGTTCAGAAATGGCTCAAATTTCTTTTAAAGCAGCTGTAGGGAGAGAGACCTCAAGCTAGGTCACAACTCTCCTCTAAAACTCTCCACCAAACCTTTTTCTCTGTCTGTGTGGGTTCTGTGCTGTCAAATCGGAACTGACTTATAGCGACATTAATAGGGCTTCCAAGGTAAATGAGATATGTAAGGAGTGGCTTTACTGTTCCACTCCCCCAGTCAGTTTCCATGGCCAAATGGGGATTCAAAAATCTGTTCTCCAGAATCCTAGTCCATCACTCTATCCTCTACACCCCACTGGGAACCCCATCTCTGTCTAGATAGGGAGATAGTACAGAAGGGTGGTGGTGGTGGGAGTTCAATCCAGTCAAGGTGTCTCCCCAACAGATTTTCAAAGAAATTTTAGAATGACGGTTTTAGAAACTCTAAATCTTATCTAGTTTGTCAGAAATATTTACTGTGGGATTGTGGAAAGGAACCTGGTGCCTCTGAAAAAGCCAGGAGCAGTTTTTAGTCCTTGTGACTGAGTGGAATGAAAAAGAGATGGTTGATGCCTCCCTATGTAAGGGGTTTGTTACACTGGCATAAACCACACATTGTTTGCTCCAGTTCCACACATATTGACATTGCCCATAAACCTGGGAAAGAACTTTCCTGTATCAGAGCAGCCAATTTCCATTTTTAAATGGAAGCTGGTGCTCAGAATACTAATTAACAAAGGACTGCCTTCAAGTGACGTGAAATTTTGCTAATGTGGACTAAATTGTGAGGAAGAGAGAGACAATGGGGTCTGGTACAGTGGAGTCTTGACTTGAGAACTTAATCTGTATTGGAAGGCGGCTCTCAAGTCAAAAAGTCTCTAAGTCAAGTCTCCATTGACCTACAGTGCATTGAAAACCGATTAATCCCGTAACAGGCCGTTTTTGTTCCATTTTGGTTTTTTTCTAGTCTGTAAGAGGTTTCCATTTTTAACCTATGTGGAAGCTAGTGCTCAGAATATTAATCAACAAAGGACTGTCTTTAGTGATGGGACATTTTGCTAAAGTGGACTAAATTGTGAGGAAGAGAGAGACAATGGGGTCTGGTATCTCCAGCTATATGACCTAGGGGGGAAAAAAGAGAGAGAGAGAGGATGTCGGGAAGGAGTGGTACCAAGCCTGGTGATATCGGTGAAGAAGCAACATTATAAATGGGGAACATGAGCTTCCTAACTACCAGATCGCAGCCCCTTTGAGGCACATATATAATCATACAAATAGGGGTACATATTTTTCACTATAACCAGCACTGTAATACGGTACCATAAAGGCTTTGTAATACATCCCAGATATATTGAAAAATAAACAAATGTGAAGAATATAAATAGACTTATTACCCAAATGCTCTTGTTATGATTTGATTTTCTCCAAAACTCATACTGGAGGAAGCCCTGTCTTCTTCTTGGTGGAGAACAGATCTATGGTTAGAGGCAGCCATTACAAACAAGGCCAGCTAGAACAAGAGGCTTCACCATAACTTAATTATTTTGTTCAGAATGAGGCATAAAAAGCCCCTTCAGTGTTTGAGTGGTATTTAATTTCTACAAAGGAAGATCCAGGGATTTAAACAACCTGTCGGGGCGGGGGGGGAGGAAAACAGAGATAGTGTTCTCACAGTCTGTCAGCTTGTGTGCTTGCTGGCTGTGGTCATGTGGTAGCAAAAGTAAGGGTTTCTGCACAAGCTCAGAGGTACTCATGTATCTTTTTGTGTCTTTCATATATCCAAAGATCTGAGTCCTAGCTGTGAAAACACCAGAGCTCTGAGTGAGTCTTAGTCAGCAATGGCTGCAATATTTTGGCTCATTGAAAGCTTCAGGAAGATGATTCTTTGTAGTCCTCTTAACCTGGATATAGTGGAGGATCCAAGACACGTTCCCTCACACTGAGCTCTTTTAACCCAATTCCTCCAAACTCTGGCTGGCTAGATCCAGTAAATAGAACCCCACGTTCCCAAAAATGCCTTGGGAAACTAAAATGACAGCTCCTAGGCCTCGCTGCCCAGCGCTGCTCATAGTGCTGCTGTGTAAACTTGCCAAGCCTGGCCTGATGAACTAGGACCACCACCAACCCAGGAGGGATTCCACCAGAAGGCATCTCAGGGACCCCTCAAATCTGGAGCTGGCTCTGGGGTCTCTGGCCTCTTTGAGTGCTTTAAGCAAAATGGGTGGTTGTGTTGGTAGCTGTGGGCCATCCTTTATGTAGCCTATTCTGCACCTCTTCAGCTGGCAGGCTGCATCACGATGGATGGTGAGGTGCCGTCGTTACTGCTGAAATAAGATGTCGTTGCCAATGTAGTTAGTTTCTGCACAGGGAGTGTTTACATACGTGCACCACCTTGTCCATTGCTCAGACAGCAAAACGTCTTGGGTCGACCCTGCTTGCAACTCTTGGGACCCTCATGGATTTCTGATCTTGTCACAACTCAAGCTGGCCCTGGCAGTGGTTACAAGTGAGGCATGATGAAAGCTCATCATCTGAAGAGTTTCTACTTGAAGACCTGCCATCTTTTCGATTTTCGATTTCGATACCTTTATTGGCATATGAACAGACAGGAGCAAAACGTAGATACAAACCAAACAATAATCAAGAGAAAAGTAAAATGAGAAATACACTCAAAACAGCAAGTAATATCATAGGTTGTGGGTTAAAATAGAAATTTCCAATAGATATCCTGCAACGGCAGATGTAATCAAAGGACAAGAATCACTCAGGAAAAAGGCTAAGGAGTTGGGAAAAAAGGAAAGCCACGGTTCTAGGAAAAGCTTTCTTCAGAAGAGGCCACCTGCAAACGGTAACAGCTAAGAAGAAGGTTGTGATGACTGTCCTTGTTAAATACATGGAGAAGACAAAGTGACTGCTATCCAAATTATCCCACAGAGCCTCC